TATGTGTATCATAGAGGATTGTTCTATTCGGTGTAACTTGCTCTATCTAAAGATGCATTGCGAGACATCGCGCGCGTGCGCATCCAAAAAAATTCTTTAAATTGTCATATAATAATGCATGTGTGCCATCAAATATTTGTTTTCATAATCAACATCAGCATATGTTTAAAATTTGAAAATATTGGTCGTCATGAACATAAAATTTACTGGTACATGTACAGTAACGTTTGTAACAAAGTCGTGATGTTATAAATGCATAGAGGAAATGTCAGGATCAATTTTGCCAAGGACAATGACTGTAGCTCTATTGACGACTAATTTACATACACTTAAAGGCCATAAATCATATAAATAAAGATGATTTAATGACATTGACAATGTCCAGCTCGAATATCGATTTGACATTATACAGATTACTGTCGATTTTAACATATGTACGCTCTTATACGTGCGTATAAAGAAGCTAAATAAAATTAAATTTTGTTGAGTAATATTCTGTTATAATTTGCAATATTTGTAATTTGTAATATTTGTAAATATTGCAATTTCTGTTATAATATAATTTACATATCGATAAAACTCATTGTAAATTATTGAAAGAAAATAAACTTGGGTTTTATTTTCGAACGATCAATTTTTTAAAATAGAAAACAAAAAAAAGTTGCAGGTTAAACTTTTGATTTGCTTCGATCCTGAAAAATCCTGAAAAATTGAATAAAATTCTGAAAAGATGAATTAAAATTATCTTTTATTGCATTTTTTTATAATTTTAATTTTTATGTATATATAATTGAAGAGATGCAAAAGTCTTTACTATTTTATATATAATACATATAACCATTTATTTTTTGCGTGCGTGCGTGCGTGCGTGCGTGCGTGCGTGCGTGCACGCGCGCGTGTGCCCTTTTGAAAAACAAGTATATTTTCTTTATCAAGTGATTCGTCTCATTATCTTACATAATCTATACAAATATTACAATACAGTAGTAAAAAAATGAATAATTTACGAAATATTTTGTTTTATGTCGAAATATGCCACAATAAAATAATTAATTTTTTGTAAACTTTAATACTTTTATATATAAAATGAATTGAGGAATTACGTTATGTAAAAAGAATGGATACGAATGGATACTACTAAAAAAGGCGGGACCTATAAAAATATATCGACAATGGCGCCATTTGCGAGTAAATCAATATCGTAATTATGTGACCTCTTTGAAACCTTATAAATATTTTTTGCGTATATTATGTGTACATTTTAATATTTTCTTTGTTACTTTCGATCTATTTAATGCCTTCATTCATGGTATTTGAAATCTACTTTTACTGCAATGCGCGATATAAAAAATAAGAATGTATCAAACAATGTGACATGAAAACGTAACAAGTTAGATTCTTCAAATCTCAAGTTTCAGAAATTGATGTAAAAAATTATAGATATCTTAATCATTGGTTCACAACAATTTGTAATAAATTGTTAGACACGAATACTTGTTCGTTCCAAAGCATCTGTGCCGAGAATTAATCGAGATGCAATTAGAGATGCATCTGTATTTTTAATCTATTTTTCAGAATGCCAACGGTAGACGAGACTGATTGGCCACCTTATACTAGAGATAACCCGAAGTATTTTATTTGGGACGCAGAGAAGAGTGGATTCGGCAGAGGTCCTCGCACGACAGCCTGTGCATTTTGGAATGAGTTTCTGCCGCGTCTAAAAGGGGTTCCCGGTACGTAACAGAAAACAAAGGGACCCTCTCTATAAACCATATGGCGCTGACTAAAGTTTGACTCGTTGAACGCTTTTGACAAATTTGTAGTCGCATTCGCATCTACCTGAGAACATTCCTATGTGGGAAATTCTTGTAAATGTGTATCTGTACTTTGTCTAGATATTTCTGCCTTGACAAGATGCTTTGCTCTTATTATAAAATTATACAGATTATAATGTTGTCAACGAGATATGTTGGGTCACCGTGATCCTTCAATTCTTTTATTCCATGTAGCATACTCACATAAAGGATTCTTCATGTGAGATCTTATAGGATGTATAATAGGATGTACATATATTTTTTAATTGTTCTTTACACACGCGCACACACACACACACACACACACACACACACACATATACACATACATATTACATACTATATCTACTATACACACATACTATATATATATATATATTATTTCTTTCTTTTTTTCTTCTTATTTATATTATTATTGTTTCAATTATTGAATTATTCTTTGTTGTTTAGTATGCACTAAAAAAAATTTGAGCAATACAATTACAATCGATATATATTTAAATTCACTAGTTTTAAATATTGCTAATCATTTGCGTAAAAATGTCAAATTTGTTATCCTGTCTATTTCTATAAAATATATTGCTAATTTATCATAATACATATACTTGCTGATGATAAAGATAATTTATTTATTGAACGAGATGTAACTTTCTTCATTTTCAAACTTTTAAAGTTGTGAAATTTTTATGAATATATTTTTATGTACATACTAATGTGACAGAAGACGAGAATGTTAAATTGTAAAAATTTTGATTTGCATATATTTATTGTTTGCCATGTAATAATAAAACAAATTTAATATTACAGGCGCCTTTTTAATTCAGTCTAAAAATTTTTCTTAAGAAGAGAAAATTCGAATCGTTGGTTTAAATAACTTTTTATTTCGTACTATTTAATATTACGCACGGCTACTATATTTTAAATTTATAATTGTATCTGTTTTTTCTTTATTAATTAGGCGCCTTTACTTGTTTGCAGATCCCACACCCGAAGCGTGCAAGAGTGCAATGGCGTCAAGTGTTACCGCGGGGGTCGGCGAATTGCGTGGTTCAACAACGATCGCATCCATCCTCTTACTTCCGGTGCTGGTAGTATATAGATTCATATAAGCGGTACTCATCCATGTCGACAAACCCTTTTCATGGCTGGCAGGTACCTGACTGGGCAGAAAAGTTCCATCGGCGCTACCGTCCGACAAACAGGTCCTATAATGAGCGTTGTTTACGCTTCAAGGTCGCATTAGCGGTCGTCAACCATTCGTAGATCGATAGGTCGCTGTAGAAAGTATGCTACGTATGCTGTCGTATAGCAATAGTCCGTCTTCACTGTGTCGTTGTGTCACCGGCACTGGGATAGGTTTGCGAATGATAATCAGATGCTCCGCATCTTGGCGAAGTGTATTCGTCTCTCTTCGAGATAACCGTAGACTTATGTATATGCCGCGATTCGCGACAAATAGATTGAAGGAAGACAAAAGGGATCCTCGGCGAAAGACCAGAACCCTGCATCCTGATGATCGACTTTAGCAGATTGTAACTTCGACTTCACTGGGCACATTCCATCTCCGTGCAGCTTTATCGATCCGCTTTCGGCTTAGGTTCTTGCAGTTCTTTCCCCGATTTCTGCTATCTCTTTGAACTTGGTTTTATTGATAAATTATCTTATCGGTGTGTGTGTGTGTGTGTGTGTGTGTGTGTGTGTGTGTGTGAATCTTTCGATTCGATCGACCGTTGATTTCTGAATCTGATTGTTAACGTGAGATGTACCTTGCGAGATACTGATAAGCTACTGATAAGCCCACGTGAATTCTTTAAATTTCGTTAAAAAAAAAAAAGATTTCTAAAAAATATAAATAATCGTTGATTTAGGAATTACTCTGGACAATTGAAGGTGATTGAGTCAGAAGTCGTTATCTGATTGACCGCACGAGTGATAATCATAAGAATTATGATAAAATGAAATGAAGATAAATAAAAACATACAGATTTTTTTATATATCAACTCAAAGAGAATTTCGCAGCGGAGAATTAAATGGTCAATCTCGTGATTTCTCGTCTTGACGGATATGAGAAAGACAGATGGCGACCTATCTGGATTTCGCGACAAATACGTAACATTCTGATGTATTATATAAATGATGATCGAGCGTGATATAATTTCGGCATTTGCCCTATCTTTGCGGATCAGATTAAACACAGAGATCCAATTTCGATTTTCGGTACGGACGGTGCGAACAAACTCGATAATATAATTTGTAACGGGTTCACGAGATATAAGTTGCAATCATGACGCGATCAATCTCTCTTTGTTATTATTTATAAGAAACCAGCTGCGAGACCAGTTCAATATCTTGCAACGTATTTGATCTCTTACTAATTAGTTCGCAATATAGTCGATTCCAGTCCAGCACGAGCAAATTTTATTATGCAATATTAATTTCAGTGCAGAAAACAAACGATAAGAGAAAATAGCGAGGATAGCGATGGTAAATATTATAGCACAAGCGCGTAGCTAAGAAAATTAACCGGTTATGGAAAGGCGTGATCATTAACTCCGAACTCAGTAAACAGAGGAGCGGATGATTAACGTCGCGATTTTTACCGTTTACGTCATTCGCGCGCGAGAGAGAGAGAGAGAGAGAGAGAGAGAGAGAGAGAGAGAG